ATTACCAAAATAAAATGAATTCGTTATCTTTTGAAATTCTTTCAATAATCTTTTCATTTTTGATTTATATCGATCGTAAAAATTTTTTAGACTATGTTTTGGTTTCGAAATTATTTGCAGTAGCTTCTCTTCCTTATTTATGGGAAGATCCTTTTTATTCATGTGTCGGAAGAAACTATACGAGCTTACAAAAAATAATTTATTATTATTTATCTGATAAAGAAAGTATTTTGTTTCAAATTTATTCTTCTTACTTTGATAATATAGAAAAACCTCTTTTCGATTATATGTCCTACATCAGACAAATTCATGTTGATAGTATTTTTAGTATTGTTACTCATGGAATTGATTATGAATTCGATCTTCCTATAGATTGGAAAACCCAAGTCACAAAAACCGTTCTCAAATTAATATTCAATTATTCGAAAAAAATCACTTATTTTCAACTTTCAAACAGATACAAATCCAACATCACCAATCTTATAGTTAAATACAATTCAAAACATAATAAATATATTTATCTGGACACCACCTGTCCTAGTGATTTACTTAAATTCAATAACATGTACAGAATCGCCCTTGGGTATGGGAAATGAGATCATTCTTCATTTTGTATCTCTACCAATCTCCAAACTTTAAAAAAAATCAATTCAGAAAATATTACAAATATCAGGTTCAGAAATGTTAAATTTAATGAAAAAGAAGAAGAAATATTGGATTATTTCGTATTATTGAAAAAATTAAAATGTCTTAGCTTTATTAATACAAATATTGACAACATTCAAACTATTTATGAAAATCAAAAACTTTAGTGTATTTAAAAGTTATCTCGTGTAATCTTAGAAATTTCGTTTTTACAGAAATTTTTCTCAATGAAATTCTTAACAATGAGAATATCAAAAACATCATTATCAGATTTGATTGGAAAGAAGAAAATTTCTTAATTAACAAAAGAAATTCTATTAAGAAATACAAATGTTGGATAACAAATCATCATTAATATAGATCTTTACATCCTTCATAATAACATTTCATGTCGAAATCATTATTAGTTAAATTTATGATTAGTGATTCACAGTTTAATTTGTGTTTCCAATGTAATATTTCATTAATTATCTTTTCGATTAGTAAAACTTTATCATTATTTTCATTAATATTATGTTTATTATTAGCACGAGAT